ACTATAACATTTTTTTCATCTTTATTGTTGAAAGTATTACATATGTCCCCTTTCCCCCCCATTGACCACTCCCAGCCTGCCCCTGCCTTCCACCCAAGGCCTTCACCCCCCCTATTGTCTGTGTCCGTAGGTTATACATATATGTATACAAGTTCATTGGTTGATCTCTTCCCACCTACGTACTCTCCCCTGCCTTCCCTCTGAGGTTTAAGAGTCTATTCCATGCTTCTATGTCTCTGGATCTATTTTTGTTCATCAGTTTATTTTGTTCATTAGATTCCACATATGAGAAAGATCATGTGATACTTGTCTTTCTCTGGCTGGCTTATTTTCCTCAGCATAATACTCTCCAGGTCCCTCTACGCTGTCTCAAAAGGTAAGAGATGCTTCTGCACAGCAAAAGAAACTATCATCAGAATGAAAAGGGAGCCCACTGTATGGCAGAACATATTTGGCAATGATACATCTGATAAGAGGTTAATTTCCAAAATATATAGAGAACTCATACAACTTAACAAAAGGAAGACAAACAATCCAATTTAAAAATGGGCAAAAGACCTAAATAGACACTTCTCCAAGAGGACATACAGATGGCAAGAGATGTAGGAAAAAATGTTCAACGTCACTAATCATCAGAGAGATGCAAATTAAAACGATAACAAAGTATCATCTCACTCCTGTCAGAATGACTACCATCAACAAATCAACAAACAACAAGTGCTGGCGAGGATGTAGAGAAAAAGAAACCCTAGTACACTGCTGGTGGGAATGCAGACTGGTACAACCACTATGGAAAACAGTATGGAGTTTCCCCATTACATCAATTTCAGAGAAACCATTTTGCATACATATACTATTTGCATGTCTAGCCTGCTATAAACTAGAGTCCTTCATACTCAGAGTGTGCAGGAGGCTTCCAGCTATCCAGCAGCTTCCCCTAATACAAGAAGGACCACCTTTATGAACACTCACCCTGTGCAGTCAGACAGGCCCTCCCATGCAGAAGGACCCTGAACTTGGTTTAATGCTCTGCTGTCACTGTCTTGAAACTCTTAATAATTTTATCTCTGAATGTGATTTTGTAAAAGGCGTCCAAGGGGACAAGGAAGTATGTGTGTGAGCAAAGGAGTCATGCACGATTTGCGAGCCCATGGTTCCTAGATGCCTCACTTGCATAAAGTATTCCTGATACTCCCCAGAGCACAGAACTCCTGTAGACCACAATGTGTGGGAGTTCAGCAAGATGCAAAGTGAGTCTAAGGTAAGCATGTTACATCTAGGGCTGAGTAGGTGGGGGCTCCGACAGCTCCAAGAGGCCTCTTTCCATTAGAGCCAGAATGTGCTTTGATCACTAACAGGCAGTAATGGCATTCTCAGAAACAAGAATGATTAAGGTAACCTGTCATGCTCTTTCTTACTATATTAGCCAACCACATACACCAAAAATGATGACATAGAAGGAAAGGGAAAGATAAGGCAACCCACGGTTTCTTTTCCTTTCAGTCCTTTCTTACTCATCAGTAAATGAAAGGTAGAGAGAGTTGATAGAATGTGCGTGTATTAAAAAGTGAAGTAAAAACAGCTGAGTTAGTTTTGTGCAGTGTTCTGGTAAGAACAAAATACATATGCATGT